ATACTGTCCATTGTTCTGTATTTTTTATTTTGTTTATCCAGTAACTGTTGTTTTTGCATACTGTCCATTGTTTGATATTTTTCATTTCGTTTATCCAATAACTGTTGTTTCTGGATACTGTCCATTGTTCTGTATTTTTTATTTTGTTTATCCAGTAACTGTTGTTTTTGCATACTGTCCATTGTTTGATATTTTTCATTTCGTTTATCCAATAACTGTTGTTTCTGGATACTGTCCATTGTTCTGTATTTTTTATTTTGTTTATCCAGTAACTGTTGTTTTTGCATACTGTCCATTGTTTGATATTTTTCATTTCGTTTATCTAATAACTGTTGTTTTTGTATACTGTCCATTGTTCTGTATTTTTCATTTCGTTTTTCTATTAACTGTTGTTTTTCTTCACATCCCTTTGATTGATACTTTTCGGTCCTCTTGCAGTTTATTCTTTTTTTATTTTCATGCATGTACCTTGATGTTTTTTCTAGTCGCATTTTTTTCTTTGCTGGTGCCATTTTCTCATAATCTTGTCTCTGCCTATAATTTTTGATTAATCTTTTTCKTTCATWTTTGTCTTTATTACAATTACATGACAAAAACTGTAACTTATATTGTTGTCCACATGGATTTAGCTTTTTCACATTGATAACWGTATCTACAAGTGAGCATGTTCCATTAACACTTTCTGCATGTTGAAGCGGTGGTATTTTAGAATTATCATAAAGTAAAAAGATGTATTTAACCTTGACTTCCTGACAGTTTTAAATATACAACAGATACAGTATGTTGAAAACCAAATCAAACAACCAGAACTCTTAGTAAAATTGTTGTTTATAWTACTTTCAAGAGTGGAYYTACTTTCTATGGWATCAGACAATACTCCATTTATGACAGTATCACTTTCACAAGTTACTTTAGCCCCRCAAATATCAATTGTRCATGGGATATCATCTGATGTTATATGACGATTTAAAGAGAAATATTCACATARTAGTCTTCCTCCATCTACAATATTGTTGAAATTCTCTGAATTCCARTAGCTGCAWGATTTCATTGTAGAATAACAAATTGAATAGACAGCTACRGTACAACTCA